ATGTATTTATGCATGTATGTATGTATCTATGTATCTATGTATGTATGTAATTTTTATGTATGTTTATGATATCCAAAGCACAGTTGCAATTTAAGCTGTAAGCATTATATGGTCGATATTAAACCATGTATGATCACAAGCATAGTTTTCAGTATAATATGATGTAATATAGTTCAAGACATATATTGAATGTTTGTTCGGGGGTGGTTTCGTCTTTTTTCTTCCTCCGGGAATGGTGCTAGGAACCGGGATCGCCAAATAGCGGCCGTGTTTAGCCTGTATGATAAACCGGAATCGCCAAAGGAACGGGAGTGTTTCAGATACATGATGAACCAGACTCGCCAAAAGAGGCACCATGTTTCCGATCTCTGATGAACCGGAGCCGCCAAATGAGGCGGCGTGTTTAAGATGTTTAAGCGATATTATGAACCGGAATCGCCAAATGAGGGGGTGTGTTCATTTAAGAGAGATGATGAACCGGAATCGCCAAATGAGGGGGCGTGTTTCAGATGTATGATGAACCGGAGTCGCCAAGTGAGGGTGGCGTGCTTAAGATGTATGCTGTAACGGAGTCGCCAAATTAGAAGGCGCGTTTAAGATATATGATGAAGCGGGATGAGGGGGTGTGCCAGTAGCTCAATGCAAAGCAGGACCCTACAAAGCGTTACTTTGCCCTTTAAACGCCCAGTTGTTTGAGTCAAAGCGGAGCCTTCACAAATGGAATTCCTCCAGTAGCTTGCTGCATAGCAGGACCCTACAGATTGTAGCTCCCAAATAACTTGCTGCAAAACAGGAAATTGTATTCTCCCAATAGCTTGACGCTAAGCATGAGCCCAGGAAATTTCCCAATAGCTTGACGCAAAACCAATGCCTCGCAAATTGTGCTTCCAAAATAGCTTGATGCAAAACAGGAGCCTGGAAATTGTATCTGCCAATAGCTTGATGCAGAACAGAAGCTCGGAAATTAGGCTGCCCCTATAGCTTGACGCATAAGAGGAGCCTGCAGAACAAGTTGTAATTGTAATCCCCACGCAAGCAAAACCCGACGAATTGCTGAAACAAAAACAAAGTTAGGGAAATGGCACGAAATCCGTGCAAAGTGTTAGGAAATAGTGCTTTCCCTAGGAAAAACAGGAAAACTGCCCAAAAAAGAAACTACCCAAAGCACAAAAAACACCCGATGTTCAACCCTAGGATCTGGACTCGGCAGGGTCAGACTTGGGAGCACTTCAAGTCTTTGTGCATGGATCACACTGGCCGCCACTTGGGCCGCCTGTACGAGGTCGCGTGTCATGAGGAAAGCCCTTTTTGTCACGGTGCTTGAATTTGATGTCGCGTGTGCTCGGCAGGTGGTTTGGGGATGGATCTGTCCAGGGCTGTGCTTGTTGCTGGTGATCGTCAGCATCACGCCGCCCTTTGGGAAGTTGGATGTCATGGACGCTCTGTCGTCCAAACCGTTCCCAGAAGGCACAGAGCCGACAGAGCCATCGGTAGTGCAATTCACAACTTGTGCCAGGAACAGGCTTTTTTCCCTTCTGGACGATTCCTCTTGGATGGACCATTGCTTCACTGCCCATCGCTGCCATGGCTGCGACGTGCTCGGTTCAGAGTCTGGGGACGGCCAGTCGGTGCTTGGACAGTTTGGGCGTTTGTTGTCGAGGTCGTTGCTACCTGGCCAAACATTCTTAAAACAAGTCGGAGCGGTGGTTCTACAATCTTCGACGACATACCCAAGTGAAAGCTGATAGCTGCATTGGCAGTCTTGCCGGTGAGGGGGGCCTCCTGAATTTGGAGCTTCGTTTCGGCTCCTTAGAATATCCCGCAATGTAAAGCATGCTGCGGTTCTCTTCTAGGAGCACTTTGGCATGTCTGGGCACTTCGCCGTCCTTGCAATGATTTTGAGATCGCCAGTTGTCGCATGGAACATGCGGCCTGCCTGCACAGTCAGGGTCAGCAGAGGGCAGTCTGTATAGGAGGTCGGGGAGTCGCAGCATGGCAAGAGCTCATGCACAGAGACCCCTGCGATCTGCCGAAAAGCCAGGACACAGATGCAGCCATGAAAAGGCAAAACATGGCTTGCAAGCATATACAGAAGGTGCAAAAACCAAGTTGCAGTGCAGACCCTTGCATAGGGGGCGAAATCTATGGATGCGGTGGCCCAGTGGGAAGATGATGCCGGATACTGAGCAGGCAGTCGTGTAGGCGCTGCGCTACGCCCCGGAGAAAGATCGCCGTTTCTAGAGACCCTGCAATCAGGAAGTTACCGAGTCCAAGCATTACAAGGTTGGGGAAGCCACGTCCGACGTGTCAAGTCCAAGGTTGTTGTGCTCAGGACTTGGTGCAGTTACCAGCATCCAGAAAGATCAGTCCAAATCCAAAGGACATCATGCTGTGCATGCATAAGCGGGTCGGTTTGCAACGATAAGAGACGTGCCTCTAGAGACATGTGAGGACTGGGTGTCAGGACCTATGTTTGCTTGGATCGATGCGAGACCTAACATCTGGGCCAGAGATGCCAAGTCACAGCACCGAGGTGTGAGAAGAGTGGGGACACGCAGAACCTGTGGCTCAACCTGTCCGATGGGCTCGGAACATGGACGGTTGTGTCTGTTCCGCTTGCGGGCATCGAGCAGCAACAGACTAGCATTCCCGAGGTTTATCGGAGGCGGCCGCAAGTTCTGGGATGGCTCTGGTGGCAGCAATGGCGCCCTGGACCACTTCACAGAGGAAGCGCAACAGGGCGTAGGTTTCATGAATATCAAGAAAATGTGGAAGTCTGACAGCACATTGCGAGCACCCAGCGTCCCCAGCATCATACATCATAGAGAACAGAGCAGACCTTCACATTGCAAACGCTTTGTGCAAGGAAGCAGCTAAGCTTGCTGGGTTTCTGACGCCTGCAGCCTCAGAACCAGGAGCACGCGAAGGGCAACTTTTACCCCCTTGCCGCGACCTTGCAAGAGCTGGCCGTGTCCGGTTGAAGGCACGCATGGAAGGTAAAGCTCCAACAGCTGCAATGCGAGGTTGTGAAGCTGGGAACGATCACGCCGGCAGGCTGGCGTGATGTGTCAGCGAATTCCTTTCTGTCTGATGTCACACTTGCGAGGGGCCGACGTTTACTCTTATGCTCCCGATGAAGACAAGATGGTGAAGGAGACGGAGATCACTTGTCGTCTTTTCGCCAGCGCCATGAGAGTGCTTGAACAGGACCCTTTGCTGGCAAAGCATTTGGAACACTGGGGGATTGACGTCATGAAGCTGCTGGTCTCAGATTTGCCGCGTAGGCAGTTGGTTAAAGCAGTGTTGATGGTTGTGGTGTTGGCTGTTGGTCGGTGTCCGTTTTATCTGTCTGGGTGTCTGGCTGTTGGTCTGCCTGCCTGCCTGCCTGACTGCCTGTCTGCCTGTCATCCTGTCTGCGCTGGGTATGCGGGCAAGCCTATGCCGGCATGCGTTGATTGCGCACATGACATGAGGCTTGGCAAACAAGATGTCTGACCGTTCGAGTGTGCTTGCATGTCACGTGGCAGCATGTTTGGCGGACTAAGGATGGAGAAGACTGATAAGACGCTGGCTGAGATGCAGGTTCAGCGCACGCCCCTAGGTTAAAAGAACGCGAAGAGGAGTGAATTGGGAGGTGGACCTCAATCTGAATTATGACTGGTCGAAAATCTGCGAATCCGGAGACAAGCCGCTGGCGATTCGCTCAGACCCACCGCGCACGAGAAACCAGGTTCTTGACATGTTCGCTGTTCGAGAGTATCCGTAGGTGCGCCTCCGAGGGCCAGGTTTGGTTGGCCTCAAGAATCTCGGGCGCGCTGGGTCCATCCTTGTCTTGCAAGGTCCTAGGGCACATGGGAAGTACCATGCCACGTAGCCAGGCAGTCCTGCTACATGAACTCTTCGGTTCAGCTACTGCTCGTTGCTGCCTGAGTGATTCCGCGTACTTCCCCAACCTAGCAACGACTGGGACACGCTCAGGCACTGCCGGAAGTGAAGCAGCGCTACTTGGACGCGGATCTGAAGGCCGAGAAGTTCGGCTTGCTTTGGCCGTGACTTTCGACTTGATGCCTCAGATCCGAGCATCTGCACCTGCAGAAGTCCAGAATGACCTGCTCAGCCAGGCACCGCTTCGTGCCTTAAGGCAGTACTCGTTGCGACAATGCTTGGGCAGATGCTTGGCCAATCTTGGCCAGGTGACCAAGCTAGTCAGCGGCCTCAACGGTCCACGTTATGCACCACCTTTGCTTGCCCCTCAACTTGCTACGTTTACGAAATCTGATAAATGAGTTCGACGGTAGCTATGCAGCCGTGAGGAAAGATGGTGATGATGAGGAGGATCCGAGATTCGCAATCCAACCTCAGGCAAGTCGCATTGGAAAGGTTAGGAGGGTGCGACGGGCAGCATTCTGAAAGGCACAGATGTTAAGCACTTACTTGCAACGATGTCAGATGTTCCGCTCGCTCATCGGGAGAGGGCATGCGGAATTCTCGACTGCCAGGCGCTGGTGCTAAGTTTTCAGAGACTGCCGGTTGGATGCCACATGCTGGCAGTGCTGAAATTTACAGGCAGCAAGATGCTGCGGAATTCGTCCAGGCAAGGTTCGGAGTGGCAAAGTGCAGCCTGATCAACACTGCCACTTCGCGCAGTACTTCTTGGAGCAGATCGCACGCTTCGAGCGAAGTGCTTTGGGAACGCGGCTGGCCGGAGACAGTAGGGGGCCTTGCTGCCTCCAGGAACAACTGATTAAGCTCCTTTGTAGCGACTTGCCAGCATCGTTCAAAAAGCAGCGAGGCTCCACCACCTCCCTTTTCGAGTTTGCTGCAAACCTTGCTGAAGTTCAATTTGACCTCCGGCCACTGCTTTAGACTTTAGAGTCCTTCGGACACATGGACTTTTGTCTCCTGTGCCAGGTGGAGGAAAGACTGCAAGAAAGCTCTGGCCAAAACAGAGTGAAGCACGCGGGCTGCACGAGCTCTCCGTGCTTGACTTTTGTTCGTGTCCTTACAGGTGCATGCATGTGGATACTTTCTAATCGGCCCAGGTACAGCAAGGTCCAGCAGAACATGCTTGGACTTCCAGCCTGGGCCTCAGAAGCAGAAGACACCTTGCTCTGTTGACCTGCGGAACACCAGTGCCTGCTTCTGGTTGCGAGACGAATGAGGTGAAGCTGGATGATGCCGAAAACCTTCAAGAGGCGACTCAGCCCCGTCTGCCATGCAAGATCCAGCCCCCAACGTTAATGGCAGCGCACGAATGGAAAGCACGGGTGGGACAGCGAAAAGACGAGCTTGCAGCCAGTATTCGTGTATGGATGCACACAAGTTTTTGGCAGGTCACGGCTTTCAGAGCAGCGAAGGACAAGGATGAGCAAGAGGCCAAGAAGCCCAAAACGGAAGGCCCGCAATCGCTAGGTCTAGGTCTTGCTGACAATTCTTGCCTTTAAACCCTGCCCCGGAAGGCGAGCCGGAAGAACCGAAGCCAGTGATACCGTTATCGCACAAGCCTGAGGTGGCGAGCACCACATGGCATAGGCGAGACACTGTTCACGGATTCTCTACTACCGGGCTTGGGATACTCGTATTCAGGTCAAGGGCCTCGGAGGGTCTCAGCTGTCTCCCAGGTCGTGTTTGGCTCGCTTTGGAGCACCTGAGGAGCCGTAGTTGCACAGTTGAACGCCTTCTTTGTTGCCCAGCCGCAGACGGCCTCAGTCCGAGGATGGCGTTCAGTTTCGAGGCAGCTCTGCGTCCAAGACGCCGAAGCCCTAGCCAGGGCCGGCATTCGCTGATCTTTGCTGCTTCGGTGTGCGTGTGAATTCTCTTTCTGTGCTTTTAGGTCAAGACTGGCCACCATGCCCAGGTTCCAAAAGGGCCGTTGCATACGTCACAGAGCACTGAGAAGCCGTTGGTCTCAGGTACTTGCTGGTGCAACTTCAGCGGTACTATGTGGACGAGAAATGGTGCCCAGCCAAACTAGATTGCAAGGCGCGTTTTTGTTGGTACCGATGTCGTCTTTGCCTTTGCCGCTGTATGTCCGTCAAGTTTCTGTGTCCATGTCCGCTTGTCATAGTCTCTTCCAAGTGTGTACATAGGATGGCGTTCCTCGATGATAACACATTTTGCTGCCACTTTCTTGTGCCTTTACCTCTCTCCCTCTCTCTCTCTCTCTCGCTTCCTCTATCCCTCCTTGCGAAGTGCCCAACATGCTTCGACCGAGCAGGTGCCCATGTCCGGTTCTCAGGTCCCAGGCTTTACCATGAGTTGCCCGCTGAGCTTGCACGACCTTTGCCATGTGCTGCTTCGCCGCTGAAGCTATGCATATCAAACGAAATACTCGTACCAACCTGGGAACATTGAAGATGTTTCCAACACTCACATTAACTGGCCGTGAGCCTCGCTTTGTTGGTGTGTTGAACTTGCAACTCGGCTTTTCGCAACTTGCCGCCTTTGCCGGGTGTCGTAGCAGTACGATTCTTTGGCTTGGGTGCTCCAGGCCAGAGACTTTGAATCTGGAGCACTTGCGTGGCAGGGGCCTTCAGCCAGGACAGCGCCAGCACCACACGTTGAATTAGACTCATCTTAAAAGAGTCTTCTTTGCTTCTTTATGCTTGCTTTGCTTGCTTCGTCTTTGGTCGCAGGAGAGGAGCCGGTACCCGAGGAAGCGGATGCTCCTCCGCTGGAAGCCCTGGGCCTCTTTTCTTGCCGCCGCCCCTCAGCCTGTGAAATGAAAGGGCGGCGGCTGGGCCTCAACCAGACGACATGATCGTCGCTTGATTCTCAGCCAAAAGCTTGCCTCTCCGCCCACAGCCCACAGCATCGAACCTTGATGAAGGCCACGTTGGTGTCCATGGACATCGGTGAGAATGCTGTCAGTAGCCTAGCATCTTCCGCTAAGGCCGCTAAGATCGTCATGAACTTCCCTCCTCTTCTGTGGCCAGGCCAAGCGTGCCAGCCTGGCCGTGGGCAACTCCAACGCCGAAGCCGCGATCGCATGGTGAAACTCCCCTCACTTCAAGCCGCGGTTCGATGTGAGAGATGGCATTGCACGTAGGTTTTTCGAGCACAACACTGACCCCGACATCAACGATCCCGTGAGTGCAACAGGAGGACTGAATTTCTCGATCTTTACGGCGGATGAGTGTGCAAAACCCTCATGCTCAATAAGCCGGAAGAATCAGCCTTAGATGCTTCTCTCAACCAGGCACTTCGCACAGAGTTGGAGTCCTGGCAGGAGCTGGTGGGGCAGCCGAATCTGGCGGCGATGCGTCCGCCACTACAGCTTTTCTGGTCATGATTGGCAGCACTGGCTAAGCCGGCTAAGCCCAGCGGTTTTGGACGCCGTGAGACTCGCCTTTTGAATTGCTCCATTTGCTCCCAGGCCAGACCCGGAAGCGGTTTCCATGCTGTGCTCGATGGGCTTTGCCCAGAGTCACGTGCTAGCAGCGCTCAAGTCGTGCGCATCTCAGACTGCCAGGCTCAAGCTGCCGGACCTGATCAAAGACTCCATTTATTCCTTTTCACTCTGGTGAGGTGCATGAACAGTGCGGAGAGAGCTGCAGATTGGTTCGAGACTCGGGCCCCTGAACGGCCCGCCACACTGCCAAAGCTCCTCGAATGTTTGAGGTTGTTTTCCCACTCAGACGACTTGGATGGAGCTGTCGCCTCCCTGGGTGGCCAGTCCACCGCTGGTGCAAGTGCCGTAAACTTAAAAGCTCATCCCTTTGCCTGTGCAGTCTCGATGGCTAGATCTGCAAGGCACTACCAAAGGATTATGACGACGGCGTCGGGGAGTGCCAGCTTCAATCGCGCACCAGTGCCTCCGCATTCCTTGCTAGAAACCTTTTTTGTCTCAGGTACACACTGGTCGGCTTCGTGTCGCACATCGGCAAACATACCTCGCACGGGCACTACGTTTGCCACATGCACCTTGGCTTCAGTGGCATTGCTGGTGCTGTTGGCCGCCTCATCTTTCCGGCAAGGCGCCGGGGAGAAGGTGGGTCCTGGGTCATCTTTGATGACAGCAAGGCTGCTCACTTGTCTACGTTTTGAGAGAGTCGCCCTGGTGTTTCTCATCGCAGGTTGCGCAGTCTGAAGCTCCTCCTCTTGATCTGGGTGCGGAGCTCGGCCAGTTTCGGTACATGGCAGACATGTGGACTTGCAATGCCACTTCAGGCTACATCTACCTGTACAGGAGAAAGGACGTACCTGCAAGTGCCGGTGTTCCTTGTTCTGCTTCAAGTTCATGAACGGCACACGGCACTCATTTCTTCTATCTGCCGCTGCTCGCTCGCTCGCTCGCTCGCT